CGGCCCTCCCTCTGCCGGTCGGCGGCGGCCCGCATCAGATTACAATAGAATTTTTTGTCCTAGATCTTAGCTTGTTAACAATTGCTATTTGAAATTGACCAAATGGTCTCCTTTATATGATGTTGGTGTTGAGTCCCCGGTCATCCCCATCTGGATTTCCTTCTCGAACCTTTATCCCCACCTCTTCTCCCCCCGCATCCTTCATGGCTTGGGTTTAATTTTTGGCAGGTCGTTAAAGGTTGATAATACTACTTATGTTGGCTCTCATCCTTCAGTGGCTCGGGTTTTGATTGAGCTTGACATAACAAAAACTTATCCTTATAAAGTTTTACTAGGGCCAGAGAAATTTGGATATATTCAGCAAGTTGTGACAGAAGTTTTTCCCCCATTTTGTGCTTCCTATAAGTGTATTGGGCATTTGATTGGGAATTGCCGCCCTCATCCTTCTTCTACCCCACATATTGGTCCTACTAATGACACTAAACATGTTAATATTAATACATATTGTGATGGTGTTTAAGGTAATTTAGATATTCCTTCTATCCCTTCCTTGTCCGCTCATCCGCCTTTTATTAACGAGTTGAATAATGTGAATTTTTTTTGTGATGAAATTGATAAGGTTTTGGTGTTGGGTCCTACTGATGCTGATGCGGGTTATGGTGTTGAGGTGGAAGTTGCTTCTTTGGGAGTCGATGAACAACCGACTTCTGCTTTTCCTTTGGGTAGTCATGTTGATGTTGAGGGGGAAGTGTCTGATTTGGTTTTGACTATCACTGGCGATAACAAGGAAGGTGGGAATGAGAGAGTTGATGATAATAATTGTCTCATTAACCTCATTGCTAGTCCCATTAGTTTGGCCTTGGATAGCTGGTAACCTTGGTGGTATAATATTGCCTTGTGGGTTGATGATTCTTTCTTGTGCGATATTCGGCTGGTTGCCTTGTGGCTTGCTATCTCCAATGGATGGTCCCTCCTTGGCGGATCAGTGGTTGCAGGATTTCCATTACTAAGACCGTCTAGGTTGTGGTATTTGATTTTTTGTTCGGATCATTTCTTCTTGGATGTTTTGTAGGCTTTCATATTCTCATCTTAGCTATTTTCTTTTGGAGATTTGGTTCACAATCGTTGTATTGTAATTTGGTGTTTATGCTCTCAAACGCTATAATTGGGTCGTTGTATTTCCCTTTCTATTGAATACAATTTGGGCTTGTCCCTTAAAAAAAACTATTTTTCAAACATACAATCTAGCAAATCTATTTCAAGCATGATGTTAAACTTTTGTAAACTCATTGAAATCTTTCCACGGAAGTTGTCATGAAACTTTACACTGCATATAAGAAATTTGTGTCCAACACAAAACATAAGTTTGAAAGAAAATCTGAAATTTTATTGAACTATGGAATGAAATTTACATGCATAGAGTCCTATTTATAGTCAAATCTAAACCCACAATTGATAGTTTCCCAAAATCCCAAAATGTGGCAAAAAACAGCAACTCTCAATTTCAACGAACACCAAAATAAGTTTAAATTTCAAAAATCAGAAAATAAGGAAGGCCAAAAGCCGAATACAAGTGAAGGACCAACAATAGCTACAATAAGTCAATAACAACAGGGAATTGACCCTAGAACAAGCTGCTAAAAGAATCAATAGCAACAGTTCATCAAACATCAACTTCCTGAATTTGCTTCAGAATAAAATAGAAACATCACTAACTTACTTTCTTTGCTACAATAGATATCACATATAGAAGGAAACAGGAGATTGAAAGCAGGGACTCCAAAAGAAATAACTTCAATGAACAATAAGCGGTCCGAAGACTTGGTTAGAAAATATTAAAAAAGATCTTTATTTTTTAGATTTAAACGAGAATTTGACTTTTAACATGATACAATAGACAAAAAGGATTCATGTAGCCGACCCCACGTAGTGGGCAAAGGCTTGATGTTGTTGTTGAACAATAAGGGGTCCGAAGACTTGTAGAGCAAAACATTTTTAGAACAAATGTTTGAACTAGTAGCTAGAGACTCAAATCAACCTATGGAATCAAACGAAACCAACAAGGATTTTAGATAATTCAACATGTTCTGATGTGATACCAAATGCAAGGAGCTTCGTAAGAAATTATAATTGAGTTGGCAAAGAAATTACAACTAATAACTTATGGCGATAGCAAGAAAATCATTAAAGTTTCGTAGTTATCAACTAGCTTAGGCGAAGAAGTATGTAGATTAGCCAAAACTTTCAGACAACCAAAAATAGTAGCAACACTAAAAGCTATTACAACAATCCGCCATTTAATAACGAGAAGTTCACCTTGGGGAAATAATCACTCAACTAGACTAGGCTTTGCGGGAGAGGAATTTCAGCATACCAAACGATGCTACGAGGAAGGGTGCAACGCCAATGGTCTTGAACCACGGAAAGGTTGCCGGCGGTGGATGACACACGGACGTCTTGCTTTCAATAGTCCACTCGTAGTCTTCAAATCGCTCGTCTATGATGTCGATGAGTGTGGGTAGGATGCGGTTCAAATAATCCTCCAATGTTTCGTCGTACCCGAATGCGACGTCAAAGAAGGGGAGCGGGTGGGGTGCATATGTCCTTCGTCGTCAAGCACCAATCCATTGTCAACTTCGGGATCCTCTATGCATAGTGGCGTGAGAGGATCTTACTCCGGAAGATGAAGAATATCGAGGAGAGGAGAAAACTTGAAGATGTGAAGGTGAGAATGAGGGAGGAGGCCGGCGGGATTCCAAGGGGAGAGGGAGGGGGTTGGCGGGTGCAAGGGGGGAGAGCTTAGGGTTTGAAAGTTTCAATCCTAATTAGTCCCTAATCAAATCTGAAATAAATTTCAGATTTAATTAAATGTGGAGGGAAATTAATTAGGAATTGAATTAGAATTCAAATTGATGGAGCCTTAAAAGGAAAGAACAAGGGGGAAGCCAAAGAGAGGGGCCGGCGGTCAATAGAGGGGAGAGGGATTTGAAAACTTAAAACTGAAATTAGATTTCAGTTTTAAGTAAATTAGGAGGGAAAATTAAGTGGAGTTAATTCCTAATTCAAGAGGATTCAATGCCTTAATGGAGCCTTAATGGGGCTCCACCCAAGCATGTGGCCGGCGGTTTCTAGAAGGAGGGATTTGGTGTGGGTGCTAGTGGGTGGCTTCCAAAATTGCTTGCATGAGATTTGAAAAGAACTAAAACAAAATCCATTTGAAATTTGGAATTTGTCATGAAACGAATTCAAAACTTTCCTAATTTGGAATTTCTAAAAAAGGAAAGATTTTGAAATTCAAATTTTGAATTTTCAAAAATCTGAATTTGAAGGGGACGGGGATTAAACCGATGATTGAAAAGTCACCATCGGATGATGGTGGTGGAGGGAGGCCGGCGGCTATGGGAAGTGGGAGGCCGGCGGGTTGGGGAGGAAGAGGGGAAATCGGATGCGGGATATAGACCACGAGCCACGGACTCTTCCAATGACTGGTGGGTGTTGCGTTTCGCCCTCACCTTGGGCTTTCACTCTCCTCTCTAACTCTCCACAATGAGAAAAAGAAGAAGACAAGGGAAATCAAAACAAAATTTCATAATCTTCATTAGCCTCATACAATGATACATGACCCCTATATATAGGTCATGAGGTACAAGAAAATAAAAGCATAAATAATGACTACATCGCCCTCGGGGCCCCAACATGACTCACTCACACACAAGGGTAAAACAGGAATACCGAAAACTGAAAATGCATGAATAACTAAAAATATAAGCTCTGAATCGTGGCCATCGATCGGCGATGCTTCCGGCGATACACGTGTCTGAACCGTTGATCGATGACCTCATCACGTTCTCAATAGGATCATCAAGGCATATTTTATCCAAAAAAAAAAAGAAGAAAAAGAAAAACATAAGCTATGTAATAGAGGCAACTAAATCAATATCCATGCACAGGATTTGTGTACTAATGAATGTAGACTCGTAGATATGCATCATTCTACCCTAGCTGAAAAAAATTCAATTCCAACGAATTAAGAATTTAACATTTTGTCAAAAAATCAAAAGCTAAAACAACTATACCTCCTGTAAATTAATCTAAGAATGGTCTAAGTGCATTTGTCTCACTAATGAACAAGAAACATCTGCAATGCAGTATCAAAAATGGATTTAAACTTAGTCAGTTAAAATAACTTTTAGAATAAGATGCATGTAATAATTGCCTAACAAAGTATCGAATGTGAATTCACATATTTATGAAAAGAGAGAAGAATAAAAAACATTGGGAGCATGTTCATGAAATAAAGTCAAATCAAATACATTAAAGACAAAACTAAAGCTAAAACTCTTGAAAATTTTGCATCAAAAGAAAACAATTTTTACTTTAATTAGTGATTTATTAACACCAAATCATGTATTTGCATGCTTAAATCAAATCATTATATCATTTAGTTGCACTAGCAAGCCCTTGACCCCAAGATGTTTTGAATCAAGAACTATCATTTCCACAGAAAATCCGCCCAAGGAAAAATGACAAGTGATTTTAATAGTTAAATCACATCGCTGAATTGGATGGTGATACGCAGTATACGGTTTCAATATTTCTCAAGCATTGGATATGTTAATACATAATTTATCTTAATGCTCAAATGTCAAATCCTTTATTGATGTTGATAACATTACAAATGAAAATGATTTACTTCAGCAGAGACCTAGATGCTTTAATCCAATTGGAAGGAAAATGAATAATTCATGTTTAATCCCATGGAGCATGTTTTGTAGAAAGAGAAGTTTTGCAAGTAAAATTCATGGAAAAATCTGTCAATAATATGAATACTGACATAGGTGCAAATGCTACAATATCATGCTTTAAGGAAGCAATCAATTTCTATTTAGTAAAAATATCTATTTTTTCTATGCAGAAGACAGAACTCAAACTAGGACATTTATGTTATTTGAATTATAAAATTTGATTGTGCAAGTACTATTCATATTTCAACCATGCAAGTAAATTGAACATGTTGACATGTGGCAATGCAGACGTCTCAAGAAGCACATCATTTGTAGCTGTTCCAGCACGAATGAAAAGCTATAACTCAGCTCATCAAAGTTTCCAGTTACATTAACGATTGCTTAAGCATTGCATAAAAAAACAAATTTGTAAGTCTTCAACTGTCTCATAAGTTTTGAAATAAGAAGCATATAAGCAAAGTAATCATTCGAAATCTTATAAATTTTGCAAGTGAACATCTGCCGTTATATGGTTACTAAATATGTTACCAAGTGCAATATACATCGATGCTAGAAGAGAAAATATTCCAAGAAGATCGTAATATGAATTATGAAGAATAGTGACAGGTAAGGGAGGTCTAAAAGTTACTTACAGGACTTTTTCATGGTAAGAAACCATTGTAGCTCTCCATAATGGCAGGCTCGCTAAAATTTCCAGACAACGTTTATTCAGATATATTAAAAAGAAATCAAAAAGCTCGAGCAAGCAAGAAAGGTAAGCTTTACAATAAAAATGATATAATATTACTACTGAAAAAGAATACATGAAAGCATAAGTAACAATTATTGTACGAACTCCTGATCCACTAGGCATATGAGAAAGGTTAAGGATGAGAATTATTTTTTACCTTCGGAAGGCCACTGATTTGACTCGAGAATAGATTTGCAGCTTTTGGCTGGACCTATGTAGAAACTCTCCTTCAAATCTCCTTATTTTCAATAAAATAAACTATATCAGTTTAGTTGCATGCCATTTATCAATTAAGATGGAAAAATAAAGCTTAAAATGGAACTTAAATTAATACCACAAGTTTTAGGAAAAACAGATAGTAAGAAAACGTAAGATTTGCAAAAGTTTCTAGCAAAACAAGCACAGAAACTGTCTTTTCGACAAAAAAAGACCTATCATGTTTTTCTTCTTGGTTCATATAGGATGCGTACAGGAACCAACATGAAATGACAATGGAGAGCTTATCGTTTAGAGGAACAGAAGTCAAACGTATAACCTTTTCTGAGCATACATTTGTTGATAATAGTCCCACCACAAATATCCATCTTGTTCCTGCTTTTTTTATTAATGAAGAATGATGAATAGCTACCAAGCACAGTAGGCAGTGGCTTTATTTTTAGTAAAATGAAATTGAAAAGTTGATGCTGTATAGATATTGTGCCCATAATACCCATACCCACTGTTGTGTCTAGGAAACAGCCTATGAACGTTGGGAGAGACATTGAAGGTAAGTCAGTCATCTCGAGCCTGATAACATACCTTACACAATCAAGAAAACAAGAGATCAATAAGTTAACCCAAGTATTTTATCCCCAATAAGACCCTTAAACACCTAAGTCAAGGATTTAGCTCGAAGGTGAAGAAAAATTGGAATTAATTTACATTTTTTTTTCCTTGAGGATAAAAGAGCGGACTCAAAAGAGCGTGCTCCTCCTTTTGAAGGCAAGAATGAGAGTTAGAAATCATTTATCTTCCTTGAAAGGTATATAGAGATGAGGATGGAGATTAGTGATTTTGCTGAGATGATTAGTTTACTGCACGTTGTCCTTGAACTCCATGCTAGATAAAAAAATGCCCTTAGCTTAAGGAGATTTTGGTCTTCCAAGTGATCTTAAAGATAAGAAGCGAGATCCCTCCCTTCCAAGATCTCTATCAGACCATTTTGCCCCAGAAGATGGTGGACGGATAAATGAGGAATTTATGTTTTAAGTCTTGTGTTATGAATAAATGAAATTAGTTTGATTTAGGCTAGAAAGTCCGATCTTGGTTGACGCCACAAGATTTGCTCTTAAGTATATGTATTTGATGGAAGGGCCTTTGAGCATATCGAGTGATCTGATGGATGGAATTATCCTATCCATATTACACGCAGACTGCAAAAGCAGACATCTTGATGGCATTTTCTGAATAACCAGAATTAAATGGTTCTCATATTTTTGTAAGGACAAATCAATTTCCAGCTTATTTTCAGGTTTCTTGAAATAAAACACAAAAATATTTTATCATAGTGAGTCATTTTATAACTCGAGTAGTAATCGAGGGGGAGTTTAACTACTATCTTTCCAATCCAAAGCCATTCTTAGGATATCAATATGGACATCCTCTTAGAGTTGCATATTGAGATAGCATGAGTAAACAAAGTGAATGTGAAGATTTTGCATATGATATTTGGAGAATTGCTTTCATTATCCTAGATTGTGGGAAGTTTATTTTAAAGTCAAACAGGAGATGGTCATTTATATTTGCATAAATCAACCTAAGTGGATTGGACTTTAGGTACTGCCCATTGAACACATTTCTTCAAAGATGGAGCCTAGGCCTAAACTAAACTTTGAAGTGAGTCAATCATCTAAGTTTGCATGGATCGGGCCATATATTTCATGGATCACACTTCATGGGTCATGCTGTAAGCAAGGTCCAAGAAGATGGCAATCTTGAGATTATTCAGCCATGATTCAAGCCCCTTTTTAGTCAATAATTGTAGTTGAAGTTGATTGCTGCCAACTCTTGTCCAAATATATAAAGTATGAGTAAGGCAGTCAACATGGTACGTGATGATGACTTCTATAAAATTCATTGTTGTGCAAAACACTCCTCCAAATAGTTAATGAGGTGTTTGCGTACTTGGAGGATGTGGTGGTGGCAACATAAGTTCATGTATCTCTCTAAGCACACTTAGAAGAAGATAGACATTCTAGTCTAAAGCTTATGAAAATGATCGGTAACCATCATAAGAGACTAGTAGAGCTATCAATGACTGATGTGGGCTTTGAAAATTCCGCACACCTACTCTCCGCGCCACTCTCTTTTCTTTTTGGCGGGGAGATTTTTAAAAGGTTTAGGTTTTGGGGTAAATTTTTAGAAGAAAGATTGGGTTTTAGATAAGACACTAGCCAAAGATTTCATCCTCATTTTGCGAGGACTTTATGATCTGAGTTCTGGTTTCCTATAAGCGCAAGCCCCTATAGTCAATTACCCCTCCCAATAACGAGAGAAAACTTTCGATTAAGGCTAGTCGTATAAATTGCAAACCCAGTATATAATAGCAATAATTTTAGAGTTCGAATTTTTAAGTTATCACCATAAACTTAAACATGGTGATGGGAGAACGAAGATGAGCCCAATCAAGATCCAATGGTCCCTTCGTCCCAGGCCGTCATGATCCCTGGTTAGTCAAAGGAGGTAGTCGGCCCAACCTTATATAAGGAACCTTGTCGGCAGCCATGGATTGCTTCGGTCAAGAATACCTTGTAGACCTGGGATGGTGTTTGTCTAAGGAGATAAATCAAAATCCACCTTAGCTGATGGACTTATGCCTATCGAATATACCCTACGATTAATTACTCAAGGGATTAATGTCATTAGATAACATACAAGCTTTGGCCATGATCGTAATATAAGGGTGCCATTTTTTGGCAAAACCACCTGATCAAAGGGCACGTGTCACGTCTCTGCTAGTAAGAGATTATTGAGATTAAATCTTCATGATACACCTGACATGACATTCGCACTTTGTGAGCTAAGATTAATTTCAAATTTATTATACCCAACAAACGGTTGCGGGATGTGGATATATTTTAGTTTTAAGTTTTGATGATTAGATTTTGAAATTCTCATAGGCTTTTGAGAATTGACCCCTCCTGTTAAAATTTACTGTCAATACGATCATCATCGGGGTGACTTCAAAGTCACTTGTATTTTCAAAAGAATTTGGGTGACATTTTAAATGTTTGGGATCCCCTCCGATTAAGATTTCCTGTTAACGTGACCATCATCAGGGTGACATCAAAATCACTTTTTATGATTTAGATGTTAAATTCAAGTTGTGTTAACTCCAGTTCTTTCAAGGAGGATGAAACTTGAATATTTGATCCATGCAGCATTCTCAGATTGTTAGATTTAGAAATCATAAGTGACGATCGGAGCACATACGAGATGTGTTTTCAGCATATAGATTGGAGCTATTATACAAGTATTGCCATCTGTCCGCTTGTGCGAATATTGTGGATCAGGTGGCATCTTCAAATATGGCATTTCGAAGCTTTGGCATAAAGAATGGAGCATATATGGAGCCTAATATAGCTTCAAGTGATATGGGTGAAAACTTACTTTCACAGTCCCATAATTTAATGGAACCCCTTTGAATATTTTCTCTAATAACTTACTGACGACGGCTCAAGACTCTTTAAAGAGAAGATATATGCAAAGTCGAATTAGTTTGATTCAAAACTATTTGAATATTTTGATACATCTTTCATGTTGCCAAAGTATGTCTTTTACATTAAACTCTATGTTACGATGATATCAATTAGCCTGTTGTTTCATTTGATTTTGCATAGAGTTCAAATTTTACTTAAATTGTTGTTGGATGGTGATAGGAAACACTTATGGATTTCAAGTGAATCATAGCAAGAAAGACAAAAACAATCAAATAGATCGGAAAACAACAAGATACAAGTGATCCTCTATTCGAGAGGAGGATCGATCTCTCTCAATCTCTAGACGAATCTAGAGCCCAAAACCTAAACCTAAGAGATCCCAAAATCAGCCAAATTTAAGATGCCCTACCTAACCCTAGGAGAACAATCTATTTAATGCATACAAATCAAAAGCAAAATCCCTAAACAATCCCCACATTCAAATTCCCCTCTCAAATCCCTCAAAATTCCTTCCAAATCTGCTCTTTGGACTCGGCGGCTTGCGCACTGCGTACAGGAGAGGCGGACTTCTCTGCCTATTTTGCATGTAAGCCGGTCTCGCCTGGACCAGCTGGACATGTCCAGTGGACCGGTGTAACAATACTCCCCTCCCAAAGATCCACCTTGTCCTCAAGGTGGAAATATACTCATGTTCCGTGGAGGTGGCCATCCATGAGATGACTGAAAAACCTTACCAAATTCCATAATCAATGGCTGCACTGAAAGAGAAACATTCCTTCTCTCCTCAAGTCTGATCACCTCCAACCTATGTAGTCCCACCAAATAATCTTCCCCCGCCTCTTGTATGCTCCTAACCATGGTCTTAAGTGATACCATGGATTTGGATAGTCTTGCATCTCCCCTTATAACCATCTTTCTCCCATCCACTATTAATTCCATCATGAGTGCTCCCTAATTGTCCATGGTTTCCCCAAGGTTTACAACCACTTCATCCCAGGACGACATCAGTACTTCCTAACTCTAGTGGGAGAAAATCATCCCTTACTTGAATCCCCAAGATGGTTAACAACACTTCTCTATAGATCCCCTGGCCTTTTTTTACCTTCCATGTACCAATCATCACCCCATAATAATTGGTGTCCACCAATTTCACTCCAATTGGTTGACGACCTAAGTGGAAATGAAATTATGGGTAGCCTCATTGTCAATCAATACTACCACCTCCATGCCTGTTATTTCCCCCTTCACCTTCATCATATGATTTGAAGTTACCTTCATCGTATGATTTGAAGTTAATCCTACTACTGATTTCAGGGAAACCTCCATCACATCCAGATGCAACTTGTCATCCATCTCTCGCTCACCTCCCTTTTCAGTTTCCTCGTCATCACAGACGTGAGAACCTAAAGAGTTCGATCCCTACACCTATTCCCTAGAGTATACTTCTCGTCACACCGGAAATATAACCCATTTGTCCTCTTCTCCTGCATCTCATTCTCTGCCAGCCTCTTGAAATTTTTCCCACTCCCTCCTCCTATTGGCTTTTCTCTGGTTGTCTCATTAATGTTGCCTGATGCAGGCTCCTTGGGTGCTAAAAGAGTGGTCGTCGTCCTATAATAGCCTCCTAAACTGTTGCTCCTGGCTACCTTCTCTAGATTTTTCTGATTTTCAACCAGCTGTGCTAACTTCATGGCCTCCTTAAAGTCCCGCGGCATCAGGACTTTCAGTGCCGCTCTGATTTTTGCCTTTAGCCCCTTCATGAAGTTCCCCTCGAGTACAGTATCTGATAATCGCTCCACCCTACTGGCCAAGTGCTCAAATCGCTCCCGATAATCCGCTGCTAATCCCTCTTGCACTAAAGCAAAAAAATTGCTTACAGAAATCTCCTCCCTGGTCGATTTGAAAATGTTCTATTAAGCGGTCCTTCAATTCTCCCCAGCTCTAGATGGGCCTCCTCTAATCTCTCCACTGATACCATGACAGCGCCTTTCCTTCCAGGCATAAGCTTGCAGCTGTTAATTTCTCATCATCTGTCAAGCCATTGACGGCAAAGTACCTTTCCACCTTATAAATCCACCCATAAGCATCCTCCCCTTCGAATATAGGCATCTTCAGTTTCCTCACCCTCTGATCTCCACCATTCCCCCTTATTCCTCCATAGCTTTCCCTCTCCCAAGTGCTCGACCCACCCCACGTCTCCCAATCTTCCCTTGCCCTACCATAGCCCAAACCCCCATTCGAATTACCCTCTTCTTCCTTCAAAATCAATACCTCGGTGACCATAATGTCCCTTCCGACATTCCCAATCAGCACCCCTTTGCATCGCCTCTCCATACCCATGCCTTTCCCCATACCTGCCTCCTTTATCCTCCCTCTAGAAAGGCTCCATATAGGGTTTCCTACTTTCTCCCTTGACGATTTCCACCTCATCTTCCTCCTTACGAATTTCAAAATTCGTGTTTTTTCCTTCCTCCACTTTTGCCACAGAAGCCTCCATTTGGTTGTGAATTTTCAATAATTTCTTCATCATATCCCAGAGATCAGCTACTTATCCTTCCATGGAGGAAATCCATTCCTCCACCGTTGTCTTAATTCGGTTCATCTCCCCTTCAAGCCTTTCTTCTAGCGCATCAACTTTTTTGGCCCGCCCTCTCGATCCGGAATTTCATAAATCCAAAAACTCTGGATTTGGATTACAAAAACAGCAACTTTCTCCCTTACCGACCAAAACTCAGCCACTGAAATTTGCCAAATCAGCCCACGAACGGTTCCAAGACTTACTCTGATACCAATTTGATAGGAAACACTTATAGATTTCAAGTGAATATAGCAAGAAAGACAAAAACAGCGAGAAAACTCTTCCAAACTCCAATGAAAACCAGAAAAAATAGTAATTTTATTGCAAAAATCAAATATATCGGAAGAAAGCAACAAGATACTCCTGTATTCGAGAGGAGGATCAGTCTTTCCCAATCTCTAGACGAATCTAGAGCCCAAAACCTAAACCTAAGATATCCCAAAATCAGTCAGATTCAAGATGCCCTAATCCTAGGAAAACAAGTTATTTAATGCATACAAATCAAAAGGAAATTCCTAAACAGTCCCTACATTCAAATTCTCCTCTCAAATCCCTCAAAATTCCTTCCAAATCTGACTCTTTGGACTCGGTGGCTTGCGCGCTGCGTACAGGCGAGGCGGACTTCTCCGCCTGTTTCGCATGTAAGCCGGTCTCGCCTGGACCAGTTGGACCAGTCTAACAGATGGTATCATTTTCCAACAAAAGGGTGTTGATAATTTCTTTTGGTGAAGAATATGACAAGTAGCAATAAGGGGGCATTCTACCATAGATAGTTTGAAATAGAGTCATTCCCAAATCTTATAGAGATTACCATCATCACCAAAATACATGAGATTGCTAATTTCATTAGCAAAAATCACTATATTCACATCAAATTAAAAAGATTTATTTAAGGACTTTTCAATAATGATGTGTATACAATGATTCATATGAACAAGTTTGATACCCTTATCAAATTCTTAGCTTTAGCTTATATTCATTGGAACTAATATAAACATCTACAATGAGCTTCCAATAGATGTTGTGATTCCCTTGGCTTTAAATTTGTGGCACCATTGACACCTATACTACCACAATCAAAGCCTTTGTTTTTATATCAAAACATAACTCCCATCTTGAAGCCATATTACATGGGAATATTATCCATACTATTACTTAGGAAACTCTAAAGTTACCTTGTCAATTAAAAGGCTAATCGCCATTTGACAACCTTGGTTATCTATGAAGGAATCTCAATATCTTAAACCAAAGAAGATGCTAAAGAAGACTAATTTGAACGTTGAATTATACTTTATTTTCTTATTCCAGCATAGTGCAATTTATGTGGGTTTAATGACATGATGATATTTAACATACAGCAGATAATTGGAGAATTACATTATTTCAATTTGACTTTTAAAAGAGTTTTTGTATATCATTCAATTACAATCATTTAAGAAAACCATTTTTAATTTAATCATGTGAAAGCATTTTTTGCTTCGTTCAAAATTTCGGCAGCCTTCCAATGTCCCCTCCCCACAAAGGGAGATTGGGGAGGCACTTGCCTTTCAATCATCTCGTCCGGATCTAAGATATAACGACGCGAGCTCTTCACATTTGCAACCATCTCGCCAAGATCTGAGATACAACTGCACCGGGCCTTCAAATTTAAAATTATTCACTCGGATCAAAGATCACAGCATAGATCTTCGAATTTAAGAATCATCCCAGCCAGATCTAAGATCAACGACGCGAGGTCTTCAACTTCTATTTAAATTTTTTTTATTATCTCTTTCATCTTCTTTTTTTCTTAATTACATATCAATGTATTATATATAAACACAAACAGAGAGAGAAAGGGAGACGGCTCAGACTCGGTAGCTAGGATTAGTGAACGGGAGCGAAGTCCGCGTCGGAGTCATGCACGATAGCGACAAGAGCAGGATTGACGTACGGGATGTCGGAGTCGAAGGTCGGGGGCTTAGCCAAGGGTGCTTGTGTATGCGGATGAAGGTCTAGAGGTCGGCGGGCTTCAGCGGTGCAGAGAGACGAACGAGATCATTGGTAAGGGGCTTCGGTTTCCTCTGTGTGTGTTCGGATGCTTTCCTTCTGTGTGTATTTTTGGTTTTGAAGAAATGAACAGCAGTTGGAGGGAGTTACGTGAGAGGCAGTCTGTGAGATCGTGGGGGAAGTGGAGTATTGGATCGTGGGTGGTTGAAGCCAGCCGACAGTTAGAGGTCAACAACTGATCAACTTGTGAATACTTTAGCTAAATGCTAATATATATCATGAATCAAATTAGTAACATAGACAATACTCTTATGACAATAAGGCTATAATGGTGATTGCAGTATGAGGTTGATTTATAATAGTGAGGAAACATATATTAATATAAAAAAATTAGTAATATTATGAATCAAATCTGCACACCTCCATATATTATGTTCCTATGTATGAGCAAGCACCTATATGATAGTTTGATGATGAAAGCTATGGAAAGTTAATGTTTACTTGTAATGGAGCCGGCAATAGCACAAAAACTAGAAAACACTTTTATCTCCATCTATAGAGCCTTGATAAGATCTACAAGAGTAAGCAAAGTGATTTGGACAACATGGAGGGTCGTTTCAACAATTGGAGAATGCATGAACATCAAATCCGATACCAAACAGCCCCTTAAAGTATCTCTTCACTAAAATACCATTTAACTGACAGTTGTCTAATTTATGGTCGTCGACATAAGAGTTGCACAAATAAAATGTTAAATATCTACTTCAGCTAGAAGTAAAATTCAAGCTTAATAAACAAAAGATTAACCTTTGGATTTAGAGGATGGGTCCAGATTCTCAGCATAAGGAGGAGTATATCCTCTGTGATCATCGTTGCGTTGAAGCTTCATCTTCTCATCAAAAGGCAAAGAAAAAAATTTCTCGCTCTCGCGAAAGACCAGCTGGATCTCCCTATCGATTCCATGATTTTTTATGTAGAAAAAACCATATTCCAAGCAAGCCTGAGGTTTTCAATAATTAAAATCTAAAACACTCGATCAAACTCTCAGAACTTCGATGGAAGAACAAAAAGGTTGCAGAGAATCTAAAATATTTGAGTAATCAATGAGTAGTACGCTGATAAACAAAGAAGCAAAGTTGTTTTCAAGGGTTTTTTTACAAATGATTATAGGTAAATGGATTCGAGAAATCAGAACCTCACGGATTGATTGGACGGCAGCAGCACGGTCGGCTGAGAACAAGTCAACCAAAGGGAGCTGCAAGCTTCCGGCCATTCGCTTTGCCGTTCATGCTGGAGGAACGGCAACATAGTTTTTATGCAGGGAAAAAATATAAATATAAATATAAATAAAAAAACAGAATTTTGTTTATAAGAAAATATGCCGAAAACTTCCTCTTAAACTAAATTATATCTTTTGAATAATTGGAATCGGATCGGTTGGTTCAATCAGTTGAACGGTAAATTGGTTGGCCAGTTTAATTCTTAAAACATGTTTCGAATCGAGTTGGTCGAAAACAGCCTTCCTGGCTGATCGGACAAGCAAACTATCAAACTTCCGCCTGTTCTTAAGAACCGCGTGGTTCTAAAAAAGTGGATTTTCAGCCATCGATTTTAGATCCAACGACTAAGGAGTATGGGGTCATGAAATTAAATAGCCTAATCCCTTTCATTCCCCTCCCGTAATTCATTTTGATTGAGAGTCTTGTGTACTTCTTTTCGTCTCCCGCTCGCCTAACTCTTCGTTGTTGATTCGTGAACTCGACAACGACCTTAAAGCATTTATGTTCACGTTTGTAAGAGTTTGATAAGTTGAGCAACTATTCTGTTCATTTTGTTGTCATCTTGGACTCGGGCATTTTTTAACTTTTAGGTTATGCTTATCTTACCATGCTTATATATATATAGTTGTATGAATGCTGGGGTATGTTAAGTTGGGAGGAGAAGCTAATAGAAGGTTGGGATGATTTTGAAATGCTCAGAAGTGATTAAATGGGCATCATATGGTAGGGAACTAGAATTTATATTAAAAAGGTGGTTCATGTGGTTTGACAACAATGTATTTTTTTTTTTATTTGACAACTACATTCAATCTCTACAATTATTCTCGATTGGGTAAATTTATATTAATAAGTTCTCTCATTTGGCATAAGATAATTAGAGCTTAGTTGTGTTTAAAATTTGTTTTGTTGTTGATATTAAAATGGAAGCTCCGACTGCTAAGCTCGTAACATTAGATCATAGTGTGCACGAAAAAATGGGTATTATTTGAAATCATTTCACTAAAATATGAGAGATTGATGGAAAGAAACAATTTAAATGCTTGCATTGTGGTACTGCATATAAGAAAGGTGGCATAAACATCATGAAACAACATTTAGCATGAATTAATCAGGGATATAGCTTACTATAAAAAGGTGTCACATTATGTTCTTTACCAAATGCAGGAAAATTTAAAGGATGCATTAAAAAACAAACAACATGAATAGGAGCTGGAGAGTGCACTATTCATATAGATGACATAGTAAAGGAAGGAATGGATTCTTCTTCTCTACCAAAATCACAAACATTTGAAGTACATTGAGCTAGAGCTGACAAAGGTAAAAGAAAACTTGATGACATAGAGGTTTTATTTGCTCCCAAAACTAAGCCTGAATCTCAACCCTCGCTTAAAAATGTCATAGCATCCAAGGAAGTAATACATCGTGCAAATATGGTTGTAGCAAGGTGGTTCTTTGATTTTTATATCTCATTCAATGCCTTAAATTCAATATATACATAGAAAGTTAATGATGTCATCACAGCCATAAGTTCAACTTACAAAGTTACATTGTATTATAAAATGAGAGTTAATCTTCTTAGAGAATGCAAAGAGGAGAGCAGGTTACTTATTGATTCATACATAGAATCTTGGAAGGTGGTACAATCATGGCTGATGGTTAGATTGATAATAGGAGCATAACACTTATAAATTTTATTATTTACAGTCCACAAGTTACATAATTTTAAAAAATCAGTTGATGCATCTACTCTCACCAAGATGCTACAACCTTTTGTGCTATGTTCACTGAGTTAGTTGAATGGCAGGCCTGAAGAATATAGTTCAAGTAATAGCTGATAATGCAACTATAAGAAAACTAGTGAGATGTTATATGAAAGATTGAGTAGCATTTACTAGTTACCTTGTGCAGCACACTATTTGAATTTGATATTGAAGGATATAGGTAGCATGGCCCACATATAAAGGCTTGCTAGAAAAGCATCAAATGTGATGATCTTTATTTTTAATAATGTATTTATACTTGCATGGCTTAGAAAAAGATCATATTGAAATGATTACCAAGAGCTACAAGATTTTCTAATACCTTCATTACTTTAAGAAGTGTATGTGATCACATGCATAACATGCAAGCTTTAGTCACTAGTAAATTCTGCACATATTCAAAGTTATCAAAAATAACTAAAGGAAAGAGATTGTCTCTATTATGTTGGATATGACTTTTTGGAATGAGTGTCTTGTTATCTAAACAATATCTAGTCCATTGATTAGATTGATCTATATAGTTGATTCAGATGAGAAACCCTCACTAGGATATTTATATGATGGTATGTACAGGGTATGAAAGGTAATATAAGGCCATCTTAAAAAATGTGAAAAGATTGTATAAGATATATGCCACTATCATTAAGAGAAGATGAGATTCTCAACTTAGGAAAGGTATCCACTCAGCTACATATTTCTTGAATCCTTATTTTCATTATGATAAAGAGAATTATTGTTATAAGCTAAAAATTATGCAAGGCCTTGTTCAGTTGATTATGAATAAAATTATTTGTTTCAAGCTTAAATTTTTAATGAATGATATCATAATTTTTTGTGATGCCTTGAAATGTTTTTGAAAGTTGGTCTCTCTCACAATGACAAAAAAAAAATATAACATGGTAAATTTCTTTTTAATGTCAACATATACAAATATTTTAATGTTTAAAAAATAATAATTCATTAAGATCTCTCTCTTGATATTTTGTAGATGAGTGGTGGAAGATGTTTAGATCAAGTGCTCCAAACTTGCAAAAATTAGCAATAAGAATTCTAAGTCTAACATCACCCTCCTTAGGCTATGAAAAAATTGGAATATTTTTTAACAAATTCACTCAAATAGGCACAACCATTTGGAGCATCAATGGTTTAACAATTTATTATATGTTCGATATAATCTCAATTTGAGGAATAGGTATAGCTTTTAAGTATATTTATATAAAATAAATTTGTTTATATCATATGACAATACATTAACTAAAACAACACCTCCACTTTTAAGGTTTATACATATAAAAAGAAATTATGTCCTCTAAATTACACATTTGTTAAGTTGGTTAATTTCTGGATATTTGATGATGAGCCAACTCCAGAGATTGTCTTAGAAGTAGATAATAAGCTCTATTCAAGGGATGTAACTCCACCTGTTGAAGAACAAAACATATATTTGACTCAACAAATATATAGTAATTTGATATTTAAAATTAAAATATTATTGGATAAATTCAAAATTGAAGTCTTATTTTATGTTTCTTATTTTCTAATGAAGTGGTATTGATAATGAAGGGGATGGAGAAGATATAATCGGGTTTGATGCTATAGAAACATTTGGAGCAGGAGATTTTGGAGGTGTGACTTGGAGAGTCAATCTTTGGGGCTAGTTTTTATTATACAAATTTACCTAATTTTGTATTAGCCACTTGTAAAATTATTTGAACTAGTTAACTTAGAAATGTTGTTATTTGTTATTATTATCTATATATCATTAATGTATTTTAATGTTTTCTTTATGTTAATAGATAGTATAACACGCACAAGCCTTTATATAAATTATGTTGTTTTCATGTTTAATTAATAAATGCATTTTGCTTATTTCTTCTATATAATTATATAAGTGTCCTAGTAATTTTCATATCTATTTTTAATTTTTAGAGTTTTGCCAATTAGAGGAGGAAATTACAAGATGAAATGAAAAAAATGGATTTCATCATTCAACTCTCAACTATAAAGAGGTTAGTTACTCACAAAATGAATGTGTTTAATTTTAAAATTACTGCATTTATTTATTATGTATACTTTTAGCTTCATATTATGATTTTATTAATTTTTTATTATATTTGTGTAAGTGATTGTGTTATTATTGTATAAATTATATTTTTTTAATATAATTGGTATTTATTACATCATCTAGTTAAAACCCAGTTGAACCATCTAACTGTGAAGTCCTCCTTCCAATTCGTTGTTTGATCCAGTTTTCACAACCTTGTAAATAGGTGGGACACTCATGTTTCCTTCTTATAAGTGTCCTAGTAATTTTCATATCTATTTTTAATTTTTAGAGTTTTGCCAATTAGAGGAGCAAATTACAAGATGAAATGAAAAAAAATGGATTTCATCATTCAACTCTCAACTATAAAGAGGTTAGTTACTCACAAAATGAATGTGTTTAATTTTAAAATTACTGCATTTATTTATTATGTATATTTTTAGCTTTATATTATGATTTTATTAATTTTTTTATTATATTTGTGTGAGTGATTGTGTTATTATTGTATAAATTATATTATTTTTTAATATAATTGGTATTTATTACATCATCTAGTTAGAACCCAGTTGAACCATCTAACTGTGAACTCCTCCTTCCAATTCGTTGTTTGGTCCAGTTTTCACAACCTTGTAAATAGGTGGGACACTCATGTTTCCTTCTCTATTTTTGGTGTTACGTGATTATTCATCTATTCCTTCTCTATTTTTGGTGATTGGATAGTGTGCGTGTAATGAACTTTATCATATTATGTTCGCCTATAATGATCTAAATTGAATCTGATAAGATTTTAAAGTTCATTAAGTACCTATTAATTTTATGTGAAACTTTAATAATTTTTATGTTTATTTTTGTCAAAAAAAAAGGGTTGCAATTATGACACCTCTAGGTTCAGCATTTGGTTTCAACGGTTCCCACCCAATTGAAGAAAGGTAATTCTTTGAATTTTTTAGTTTTGAACTCATTTGCATATCTTTTAGGGTATTTTAATGCATGAAAATGATTGCATATAATTTACAATGAGTCTCAAGTGTTTTGTGTGAATTTTGACAAAATATAAAAATGTCATTATTTGAGCACCTCAGCACTAGGTGCCTGAGCGCCTTAGTGCTGCTACAGCACCCAGGCACCAAATAGTGCTCTAGGCTTGCAAAATGGGATTTTGAACTAGCGTCGTAGTTCTAGGTGGTAGCACCACAACATTAGGACATTAACAACATTTTATGTATATATATTAAACCCACTATACAATTGCCATTCGTTCAATC